GACGACTGTTTCGATTATAAAAAATGAGTTTGTTGCTGTTACATTCTTCCACGAACGAAGAATAGTTATTTATGTATCAAGGGCGTAAAGTAGGCGTTTATGGCCTGTGGCGTGAATAATGGCCCGATGGCGCTAGCCGAGGGCCATTACACGCTCAAGGCCATAAACGCATTTCACGCACGTGATACATACAAAATTTTATGCACTAGTGGTTCATTTTCTGACTCAAAAGTGATGACTATAGATTTCGATAAACTAATATTTCCCCGAATTTGATTTGTTGCGTATAAATTCAGTAATCAAGAGAAGCGTTATGTTCATGGATGATTTACATATGAAAATTATCGTACGAATATTGCAATTATCTTGATAGTTAAACTCTTTGATCTCTAGGAGAGATTCATTCTTCAGAATTTTACAATATGCATACCCAGTATATATACACCTAACTAATTTTGACGTTGTCAATCAAGCTGATGGTTGTTGTCTATATCAATACATCCAATAAACGAGCTGAATTGTCATTCTTTGACTGAAAAGTAAAAATTAGTGATAATAATAATAGCAATAGATATGGAATCGGATAAAGAAGAAGTTTATGATATACCGCTAGATATATTAGAATCTAGGAAAATGATCATAGGTTTTTCATGAAATGATATGTGGATATAAGGTAACTGAGAACAGCGGGCGGTAAAGTGCACTTTACGGCCCGTGGGCCATAATGAGCCCGTGGGCGGTAAAGTGCGACTCAACGCCCGCAATACCGGGCGGTAAATTGCACTTTACGGCCCGCTAGTGCATAAACAATTTTAAACTTCCACCTTTCATACCTAGGTAAATTTAAAAGTATGGATAGAAGATTAGGTAAATTGAAACATCAAGGATTCGTTAAATTTTCATTTTTTGGTACAATATTCTTTATTTTTGTGCTGATACTCGGCATTTTCTTTTATATGTGGCTATTACTTCATAGCATATAGCCTCTGTATTTTGACGTAATTTTTTTATCTCGAAATTTCGAGAGTCTCGAATCGAGATCGAGAAATTGTCTTCGAGTAAAACATCGAGACGAGAGGTTGTTTATTTCTCGTCTCGATGATCGAGACGAGACGAGAAAGTGCCTTCGAGACGAGATTTCTAGTCTCGATGAAACCCTAGAATTATCAAATTTGCTAGTGTGAAAAAAAGGAGAAAAGTCTATTGTGAGGCAAGAATTTTGAAGAAATTTCAGTCTTCTGAATTGATTAAGCATTCCAATAGTGTGTTTTCCGGAAACTTCCGTCTTTGGTTCACTGTTGCATCTCTCTGTGAACACTGGAATTGGATAATTTGGAGATTGGATTCGTTTTTGGAAAACTTCAACGTTAGCTTTTTCAGTCTCTCAGAAATTGGTTGCACCCTGGTCAGCCTATATAGAAATTCGTTTGATGGATGGTGAAGGGGATTTTGAGGGTGCCGGATTTTGGTAATGGCTCTCAGGCTAGCTCTTTTTGCTACTTCCAAATTGTTCAGTGCCTTCTTACTCGTGTTTATGTTTATTGGGTAAGCATACTCAAGAATTGGACGGCGAATGGCTTTGTGAATATGTGCTGCAGTTCTTTTGTTTGTCCCTTTATTCTTGTGAGTCAGGCTTCAAAAATTTTAAGCTGTTGTGATGCACTTTTTTTCATCAACTGATCAGCTATGGATATGATGATCGAAGTTTAGTTCTTGATCTAAGTGCACTTTTGCTAATTACTTTATTCTTGTAGGTTAGGCTTCAAAAATGTTTAGCTCTTTTGATACAAGTCGAATGAAATAAAATGCAGAATGCAGATCAATTCCAAGAGATGTGTTCTGAAATGTTAGAATGGCATTCGAACATCGATTATACCATCGCTTGCAACAGAATGGAATGCATTCTGAACATCTAATCAAATAAAATATCCTTTTAACACAATTCATTTCATATAATTCGACTTTATGTTTTTCGTGAACCCTGTAGTGGGTGGAAAAAAGTCTTGTACAGGTGAATACTACCGACTGAGACCGTCCATTCGAGGTATCACAAAAGAGGTTCTTTTTATGTTCTGGTTCCCACGGAGGGGGATAACCTGTAATGTTCAGAGAACATCGTGAGAACCAAGGGAAATAAGGTAGGAATTGGTGTTCTTCTAGAATTTTGGAAAGAGATGTTCTGCAGGTCTCCGAATTGACCACGAAGGGGTGCGATTCCTCAGGTCGACGGGTCAATCTCGCGGGGACTGCCAAGGAACGAACAATTATTGATATTTCAGAAGAGCATCGTCCATGGAAATATCTATTGCCCTCATTTGGACAGAATCCAACAATTTTAGGGTATGTTTGGGTGCTGCACTCTAAATATAGAAACAGTATCCCAGAACAGGTCGAGTATGTGCCTTATAGATCATAATCAGCTGACTGAAGTGAAATAGCCCCTGACCCGAAACAGCAAACCAAGTTTTTGGGATGCACTTTTAACAATTGATCTCACGTGATTTTCCCAAGAAATGTTATTGGTGATAGTGATACCAAGCATCGAAATGGATGTCTTCAAAGGTATGGTTACTCCTGACCAGCTTATGTTGGGCACAGTGAGATCGGCTTTTCTAGAGAAAAGGCATAGTTGTGTTTTGTTTGCATTGAAATCTATCAAGTTATTGGATCCCCATTCGAGAATTGTTGCCAAGTCCATATTTAGGTTGTCAACATTCCTTCCTCGTTCGTTTCTGATTTGCCTGGCTGGTATTGGAGCCCTGGATGAGAAGGCGATATGGAGGGTACTATCATCCGCGAAGCTGTGTACTGGACATGAAGTTGCTTCCAACAAATTGTCGATATGGAGTAGAAATAGTGTTGGTGCTAGAATTGATCTCTGGTGGTAGTGTCATTTGACATTTTGGAGTTAGGGTGTGTCGCGCCGACGGGGTGACTCATCCCTTCACTGAAATATGGTGGTTCTAGTTCCCGCTAACTCTTTAGCATTTTTGCTAAACGGCGTTTCTTTAACTTCTTCATTTCGCGAGATATTCGCATTGAAGTTGTTCAAATTTACACGCTGTATATCATTTCGTTATCATATGACAGCTCTCCTACTATCTCTTCGTGGTGTCGTTACCTGCGTGCGACCCAAAAAGCAAAGAAAGCACCTGTTTGTGATTATAGCACTTAAAACTATTCGAATGATGAAATATAGGAAAATATTTGTGAGAAACTTCGTTTATGCGCTAAAATCTATCATGTTTGAAATCAAAAAGAACATTTGAATTTTTGGTAAAGGAACATTTCGAATTTTTTGTTGGCGCAACATCATTCACCATTTTATTTAAAAAAAGAGCCTCCTGGAGAATCTGATCAAGTATTGAACTAGGTCAAAATAACCCGTCTATCTACCTGGGTAGAGAAAAAAGCATTGTAAAGTTATTCGAACGAAAAACGAACATTTGAATTTTTGGTGGCGGAACATTCACAATTTTATTAAAAAAAACTCGCTCATCCTGATGAATCTGATCAGGGTATTGGGGCACAACTATAAAACAAGTAGAAGACCCAGCAAACGTTGGTTTTTCATAAATATTATTACTAGATAAACTTTCATTATTATAGTTCTACTTTCTTTCAGTTTAGCTATCCATAAAAGCAGGATTCTTCAGTTTTTCAAACTATTCTATTCATGTTCTACATCTTTTTAGTTCGGGACTCTATATCTCTTCATTTTCTCAAACAACTCTTTATGTTCTATTCCCTTCCTTTTTAGTTTGGTTCTCTTTGAAAACGTGTTTTATTATTTTTTCAAACTACTATTCATTACAATAGCTGATACCCGGAAAACGTTGTTTTGCTATATGTTTATTTTTGGAAAACATTTGTTCTTGCAAGTCAAATATGACACACTTCTAATCATCATGTGATTTTTGTAAGAGAAAAAAACAAAATGGCGGCTCCAAAATGGCGGCTCCAATATGGCGGACGAGTTTTGTAGTAATATCAATTCGAAATTGGTATCTGAGGGTAAATCATGATTCTTTTATCAAAATTGAACATAAAAAGAACAGCTTTCGTTGAAATGATGTTTTTGCCAGTTTTTTTTTTTAACTTTCAACACCCGGTATCTCTTGAAAGCCCATTCGGTACTGAAGATTTTTAACCCCCAAAACGATTCCACCGAATAAGGTATAACACACCTAGAAAATATCAACCTTGTTAAAATGACGTCTGGCGGTCGCTGGCTTTCAGTCTATAGAGAAAGATTTCTGAAATACAATAGATGCTTTCTGAAATTCAATTGACGCTTTCTAAAATTCAAATGATACTTTCTGAAATACAATTGACACTTTCTGAAATTCAAATGACTGTTCTGAAATACAATTGATGCTATCTGAAATTGAATTGACTATTCTGAAATACAATTCACGCTTCCTGAAATTGAATTGACTATTCTGAAATACAATTGATGCTTTCTGAAATACGATAGACTATTTATTCTGAGATCAAATTGAAAAATTACAATACCAGGAACCAAAACAAATTCCATTTGCCTACGACACGATTGTCTCTGTGTCTCAATTCTTTCGAATCTCTGGGACTCAGGGCATATAATGCTATTCCAGAAAATATAAAATGTTCAAGTAATGAGAAAGTGTTTAAATATAAATCGAAAAATCTCCTCTTTGAAATTAGCCCATATTAAGTCGATGAGTTTTTTACATTTTTGCATAACTGATGATTTTTGTATGTAATATTTTTATCTTATTTCAGTCATTTTACCTTATTGTCAATTATTTAAATGTTTATTTGTATATTTCATGTATTCTGACTTGTCCAATGGCTTTTGTAAGCTCGTTTTAATGGATCAATAAAACTACTACTACTAAGCTTTCTGAAATTGAATTGACAATTCTGATATTGAATCGAAGCTTTTTGAAATTCATCTGGAAAAGGTGTAGTAGCTCCAACTGGTGAGAGTGAAAATGTGCCTAATCGATTTTGTATTCCAGCTCCTGAGGTGTTGGCCGAAGAACCGGCATTCCCGCAATCTGACATCTGGTCGGTGGGCGTCCTGACCTACATCATGCTGTCTGGTACGGTGCCCTTCCGCGGGCAAGACGAGAACGAGAGCCGTCAAAATATTTTGTTCGTCCGCTACAGATTCGAACATTTGTACCAAGAGGTGTCGCAGGAGGCCACCAGGTTCCTGATGCTCCTCTTCAAACGCCACCCAAAGTGAGTGAAATCAAAAGATAGAACTTCTATTAGGGTACGTTCGATTATTACCTCTCAGAGTAGATTGAACCCAGTTGAAGGTTTTATCAGTTTACTCTGAGTTAATCAACTATTCCTGGCAGTATTCGAACGGAATTTTCAGTCTTTCGTCAACATCTGAGATTGACACAACTTGTTTTTCAAGTTGACAAGTTTAGTTCAGTCAGTTCAGGTTCAATTTGCCAACGGATGGCATAATTGCAAAATATAGCTTTGAAAAAACTTTTAAAATAAGTATAACGAACAGAGAAGCATGGACGGAAGGACCTCCTATCAATGCAGACATTGCTGTCTATACGGACGGCTCCAAAACTGAGGAAAGATCAGGAGCTGGTATTTATGGGGCCAAGCCAAAGACAAGAATCTCACTGAGCTTAGGCAAATACGCGACGGTGTTTCAGGCAGAAATTATTGCAATACATCATTGCGTGAAAGAATTGATAAGGCAAGAGTTTAAAGACAAAACCATTGCAATCTATTCAGATAGCCAGGCGGCAGTCAACTCTATGCAAGTTAACTCAAAACTAGTATGGGACTGCTTAGAAACCCTAAATGCACTGGGCAGTCAGAACAGATTGACTCTAGCATGGGTACCAGCACATACAGGGTACGAGGGCAATGAAGAGGCAGACTCACTTGCCCGAGCAGGAGCAAACAAAGCTCTGAATGGCCCAGAACCCTTCTGTGGTATTGCGAAAGCTATACAAAAGACTAGTATAAAATCATGGATGCAAACCAAATCTCAAGAATGGTGGAACAAATCACCAGGAATGAGACAGGCTAAAGAGTTTATTTAAAAACCATCGCCAACATTCACAGAATATATCTACTAAGCCAGAAACGAAGTTCAACTAGAATACTAGTGGGACTTCTCACGGGGCATTGTAGGCTCAACAAACACATGAGCATGATAGGTCTGACTGAAGAACTTCTGTACAGGTTCTGTCAAGAAGAGCAAGAAGAGGAAGAAACAGCAGTACACATACTTTGCCACTGTGAGGGCTCCTCAAGACTAAGGTTCCTTACGCTGGGTGAGGAAAAACCAGGAGCCCAGAGATACACAGGAGATCTGAAAGCTAGCCTATGGAGTCTCATAGAGGAGGCGGGGCTAGCCGAAGAACTCTAATCGATTTTGATGGCAGACACAATAGATCTGAAAAGGTCGCAGTGTGGAGGCAGATAGCCCGAAGGCCCCATTCCAAATCTAATCTAATCAGGTTCAATTCATACGGGAGAAGGTAGATCTTATATTCCAGTTGCAATCAAATAATGTCGATTGCCGCTTATCAATGTTGAAACTACGTCTAGGGTAGGTACTGTTATACTAATAAAGCATATATGCAATAAACCTCAATACAGGTACATATATGATTGATTTGATAGGTATTTGATGAATATCTCGTTATCAGAACAGAACAGTACATGCAACAAAACCTTTTAAGTGTCTTACTTTCTGAAGATTTCGTGATGTTTTTCAACATCGTAATATGATGTTAAAAAGTACTTACCAAGTTTGAATGAAGTTTTGAAGATATAAAAACAATCATATACTGCGTCGTTTCAAGTGGACATAACCTAACTTAAAACAAAAAAATAAACTCCTCCATGGGTTGTGTACAAGAACTGTCAGATGACCGACGATGGAGGCACAAAACATTGAAACACAACCTCACTTTTCTTATTTGTTTACAAGTGATGAAAATAGTTTTTCACAATTTTTTTGGCATACGAATCGTATTTTTCGGCTATTCATCAATTCGCTCATGCCATCACATTGTGCTGTTGTAAAATGCACAAAAACTGCAGCGGAAGGCGAAGGAATCCGGTTGGTACATTATGATCTTAAAGTAAGTACCTAGTATAGTCACTCACATATAGTTTTCATTTTTGAAATTTGGTAATTTCTCTGATTTATTATCGGAATTCCTTCTGCAATAGGAAATAATAGAAATACACATCAAATTTCTAATATACCTAAGCGAAGAAGATTAGATTCATGCAATCAATCGGGAGGACTGGTCTGGCATGCTGACGATATCGTGTGTGTTGTAGACATTTTCAATCTATTAGCAGTATTAGCTTGTATTGCAGAAGTGGCAGAAAGCAGAAGGAATTTTGATGAGGAATGACAACATATCATAATGATAACTATGTGAGATTACTATTTACCTGAAAAATCATATTCCTTCGTCTCTCGCTGCATTTTCTGTGCATTGTTCAACAGCACAATGCGCAGGCATACTTGAATTAATGAATGGCGCAAAAAACACGATTCGTATGCCAAAATATTGTGAAAAACTATTTCAATCCTTTGATTCCTCTGTAAACAAATAAAAAAGTGAGGTTGTGTTTCAATAATTCACAGAAGAGTGAGGTTGTGTTTCAATATTTTGCCTCTATGGTCGGTCATCGTGCACGCGACCTATTCTTGTTCGCCCTATTCTTGTCAAATCTGTGGAGTGAAATTTAGATACTTTCTACACCACCGCCGCGGCGGTTGGATACTGATTCATTAACGACCGCCGACGATATCTCTTCCCCCTTCATAGAGAGTACTGAGATGTTTGTATAGTTTATCCAAAAACAATTGCAGAATCCTATGCCGCACCTGCAGTCACTTCAAAGGAAACTTCAAACACGCCGACGCCGCACAGTGCGGGATATTCTGCAATTGATATTGGATATACTATAATTCCTATTCCGAGCAAAGCGATTGCTCAGATGACAGTGTACCTGACCACCACGGGGGTGACTCCGATTCATCCCCTGCGAGGCCTAACTTTTTTAAACTTTTTCTCACGAATAATATTTCGAAAAATATACTTCTCAGGAGAAAGGTTTGTTTAGACGAGTTAGGTTAGTTTGTTTGAAAAAAGTTGTCTCCTTTTTCATGCAGAAACGATATTTCCCTGTTTCGTTGAAAAATTTTGTTGCCAGAAGATTCGAATTTACTACTCCGAAATACGTATGGAACGAAATATATCCATACTACCTCATTACCTACTTTCCTATTCAAAATACAATTCAACTGGATTATCAGGAAATCTACACCATTCTTATCAATATTTTCAGTAAGAGGCCTTCCCCAGAAGAATGCCATGAAAACCGCTGGCTACTACCCACCGACTTCATGATCAAAAAGCGCGAACGCACCGTTTTCTTGGGACACCGACTCAAAGACTACGCAGACGAGTATCACGGGGAAAAAGAACAATTATCGCAGAAATCAAAGAGTTTGTTGGGCATCAAGGTAATCAGGTCGCAGAGCATACAAGAGGAGTTGTTGACTGCTCCCTAATTGTTTAATGAAAATGCTTGAAGATTGTAAATAATGAATGGAAGATTATTACTCTTTTTTAGTAGATGTGTGGTGAATGCATGTGCGATTCGAAGTAGCCCAACTTGAGAATTAGCGCGAATAATGAATGGATTCAAAGTTTAAATATCTTAAATTAACCATATAGTCATCGCCCATTTTCCTTGGGTTGGGAGACATTCAAGTTATGCATCATGAATCCACCAATAATAATATACAGAATCGTTTGTTTACTTCGAATTTATCAACTATGTGATCACTTCTAGTTAGAATAAATGATAAGTGTTACGATTTTTTGAGATTCTTATTAGTTATCCTCAGAGTTTTGTTTGAGATATGTTCCAAATCACTTACATTGTAATGTTATGTTATTATGTACACAAACATTTTTGGCATATCTATATAGTATTATAAATAAAAGTAACTTCAGAATTGTTGGATGTTGTCTGAATCTCTCTAGTTCCATCCCACTTGTTTATAAGGCAGATGGGGCACATTCTGCTGACAAACGACGATTCCCCCTACGATTATTACTCGTCTTCTACGAAACTTTAAACGCAGGGTGGCCATCAGATTAGGGTATTTTCCTCAAAAATGAGAGGTTTTTGTTGCTTTGGGTATTTTTTTTTGGGGGATTTCTTTTTCTGGGGATTTTTCCTGAGGAAAATTTTTTATTGGGGTTTGCGGGAAATGTATTCTTATATTAATTCACCTCACCAAGGAATTCGTAATCTGCATTCTGTTACCCTTAAGCGTGTAACGGTCTTTATTCTGTGGCCCTTACTTTGACGCTCTGTTCAGGACAGGAGACTACCTACTCTGGTATTTGACAGGGGGGGGGGATTCTCGAGCGCCAGATTTTTTTTTTGAGGTAGTTTAATCCACCTGCTCTGCACAAAATATTTTCGTACAGAAGCCCAAAGTAGCAACGACAGTGGAGAAAGGTACAGGAGGTATATACCTACCTCGGTACCTACAGTATAAACCAGGGGTCAATATGTTATTGAATCGACCTGGAATCAATAAGGAGCCAAGGGAATGTATAGGCTTAAATTACAAACCCTGGGTGTATCCTGGAATACTGTTTTTTTTTATCGCTTGGAGCGCACGAAAGGGAATCCCTATAGTCGGTATAATTACAGGAATCAAAGCAAATATCTTTCGGGACTCTGGTATCTTGAGGTTAAGCCGGGAAAATTATTTATTCAAACTATTTCGTCATTTCTATCTGGAGAATCGGAAACACAGTTCCAAACGAATTAAACAGATTCAATTCTTCTTTATCTTTCTTTCCCCTTCGGTTTTCTAATTTTTCAATCTCGGGATTTTAGTGAGGTTAATTATATTTTCCATTCATGCATTCATGACAAAATGTCATGAAACATAGATCACCGCCAGACGGGACACAAAGCACAGAGACCCGGATGCACATATCTTACTTCCATCATTGTTTTGTTAGTTATGCATTGAGTTATCTCGAATAGAACTCGATCCTAAACGAAAATATCATTGAAAGAATGAACCACTATCGGCTACATTCAATGATACCTACTATTGATAATAATATAATCCTTCCTAATTCACTGCCATCGGTTAAAACAGAATGAAGCCGACACCCATGGCTTCTTCCTCTTGTTGTGCCTGTCAGAGTATTCGAGTGGTGTGGACGGACCATATACTATATATAGTTAAATGGGAAGGACTCGAAGTATTAGGCGCTGTTGCAAGATATAATTTTCAACTTTCCCAGGAAATAGATCCGTTTTATTAAGGAACCAATTCGTTAGTAAAAAAATGACTGACAAGAAAGTTATCAATAACATTTTCTAATATAATGATAGTGAAAAAATTATAGATACTATCGCAAAATATCATAATTTATCTTCATTAGTATATCAACTTAATTCAGCCAATGAGAGATTTATGAGAATAATTCATAATACTTGACAAAGTAGGATTGAAGAACCTATTACATATCATTGCTGTTATGACATGGTTATTACCCAGCCAACCATAAGATGTATAAGTGATGTATACGCCACATCACTTTGTGACATGCGATATCGCATTTGAAGTCACAAACATGTTACCGATACAACGTGGCGATGTGAAAATGTCCGACTCAAGCAACATCACTGTGACGTCGTTCAGTCATGAAATGCGACTTCACATGAAAAATCACTACCAGGTCACATACAAGTGTACAAATACATCACACTGCGACATCGATGATGTGGTCGCCGTACCTGTGATATTCGTGGGATATATAATAATAATAATTATTCAACTTTACGAAGAAAATGTTTATTTCCCGAAAAAAAAACAGAAAAACTAACCGTCGTTCCTAAATGATTGTATACCTCCAATTTGAAGCTGCTATAATATGTGCTATAGATATGCTATAGATGTAGATATTTCAACAGAGAATTTGGAAGGAAATAGTCTGTACGGAGTCGGACTCACTCACTGACTGACTGACTGACTGACATGGCCATGCACAGCTCAACATGGCGTCTGGCGTGTGCGTTCGTTTAGCGCATGTCTGCGTCACACTCACAGGTCTCAAAGATATCTCATGAGGATATAAATGTGAATTATTTAGTTAACGTCGAAGAGATGAGTTTTAAGAAGTCGCTGCCACATTACATAGTTTCCTGGTTGCGATGACACCTTGCGACGTTGATATCGAATCTACGTCGATAAGATGTGTTAACGAGATATTGCATTTATGCAAGGTTGTAACATCACACAAATGTTGATGTCACACGATGGTTGGCTGGGTATGCATTCAAAGAATAATTTCTGGAAATCTATACATATTGATGATGTCGGTAACGTCGTACTGGCACAGGGAATCGTATGAGGAGCCAAGTTCCTTTTTTATTTATTTTTTTCTGTAGTGAAATTTGATCATAGGAAAAAAAGAAAAATTACATATTATATATTTTTATACGTAAATCAGTTCTTTGGACAAAAATAATAATAATCTTCGATCACTTGGATGAACAAGTGTTGGGATCCCCCATAAAGCCCCCTTTGGGCCTTGGGCCATTTGCCCTTCATTATCATAAGAATTTAAATCATATCATGTACCTAATAATTTTATTATCTTCTCCTTTTTTCATTTCCACAAAATTGTCAATCAGAATATGCGTCTGCTGATGATGATGGACTATTGATAGTCCGAAACATGTACAGATACTGATTATTCAGTCAATCAATTTGTGGAGATGACTTCATGTGTTTTGTTTATGAAAAATAATAAAAATATTGATGAGTAGTTAGACTTGAGTTTTAATTCACTTCAGTATCAAAAAGGTACAGCACATCACAATGAATCATTATATTTTTGCAAGATTTTTTTACAAAAACAAAATTTGCATTATTTCTTCACATTTGTTTTTAAATGCACAATAGACTGAATATGATTTGAAATAGTCTCAAAAGGGTTAGCTTTGAAAGTTTTATCTCTCAATGCCCTCTTGAAAATCTCAACATCTTTCATAGTTTGCTTTTTCCTCTTCCTAGCTGTCTCAACTCCCTTCTTATTCTTACTATGCTCTTCAGCTTTAATGCAAGTAGCATGTTTCATTTTCAACAATGGTTCTAATGATGGTAAAGCATCATGAAGGGGATTAGTATCCCCAATAAGAGCTGTATTTTTTCTCTTTTCTCTCACTTGAAGTTCCTTCTTCAATTCCCTAACAATATCAATTTTTTTTAGTAGGAGTTTTTTCTTCATGTTCAATCTATCTTTTTTCTTGATTTTGTTCACACCATGTGACTTTGTTGATGATTTGTAAGTTGTACTTTTAACATCCCTTGACTCGTCCCTTGATGAGTTTTTTTGTACTCCAAGTGAAGATTCGGAGAAACTTTGTTTGGAGAATGATGATATACCTTTAGATAATATGCCATTTTCCCTCTCCCGAGGCTTCTCTGGTGATTTCCTACCATGTTTTGGTAATTTCTTCTTCAAGGGTACTTCAACATTTGATTTCGGTTTTGCAATTTTTCCCATTTCCACTCGATGAAATTTTATTCGTCTGGTATGGTATCGTATATTTTTCGTTTTCAATTAAAGTTAATAATTGATGATAAATCTGTAAAAACAAATAACAAATACATAACCTAGTTTCCTTAAACTTCTTCCTTCTCTTTCTTCAGCATTCTCCTCTCTCTTATCACAGTCTCTTATTTAACGCCAGGCAACTCGTGCACGAATTCAATCTGACCTGACCTTAAATGAAGCATCTAGAGACATAACGCGAAGAGACAGGGCGCTACAAATCCGTGCGGAAACAAGTTTACAGCAGAAAATTTGAAGCTGAAATCCATATTATATCATAATAGTGATAATATAATGATCAAAGAATTCTCCAGTCTCCTCTTTGTAATGATCTTGGCTACAGAAAAGGTGGATATATGTATCATCATGGCTACAGATACCGACGTAGGGAAAAAGTTATACGAAACTTGTCAAAAAGTAATTCTCATTTTGGTCCTATTTTTGTTGAGATATCGTATAGGCGATGAGCCATATATAGAAATAGTACATATTATATGGTCTGCTCACAAGCATCTGTCACTTTCAGTAATTTTTTTGATTTCGCAATGAAAAATCAACAGATTCAGTGCTGTCAGTTGAATCCGGAATAATAGAATCAAGAAGTCAGTGAATGACGACGACACCGATTCAACACTATGGATTATGGATTCAACGGTCCTGACTGGCCCAAGACTCGCGTTCAAATTAAACTTTTATTGTGACAGTTCTTTAGTGACAGTTCAGTCGAAGAATAGTAGGTTTTCAGTTGTCAACTTCACAACTTGTCTACTAACCTAAAAAAATTCATTTCGAGAGAAAATTCCACTTGTCATTGCTAATTAATTGTAAACTTTGTATCAATTCGTTATTTCTGTTTGCACTTTCATTTGTAAATCCGAAAAATGTTTGCAACTGAGAATGCCTACTATCCTGACTACTCAACGAAGCCAATTCAGCATTCTTTTAGTCCTTATGCTGACAATGGGGGGTACGAAAACTCACTTTTTAAAGACTTCTCATGAATATTAAAAATTAATACATTTAATTCCAGGAGCGTGGTGGCTATAGCTGGAGACGATTTCGTGGTTGTAGGAGCAGACACTCGTTTAAGTGCTGGCTTCTCTATCTATACCAGAGAGCAGAACAAACTCTTCCCTCTTTCCAACACAACTGTCCTAGGTTGCTCTGGTTGTTGGTGTGACACCCTAACACTCACTCGTATCCTTAAGTCTCGCATGCAGATGTACCACCAAGAGCACAATAAGGTTATGTCCACCACTGCCTGTGCTCAAATGTTGTCCACAATGCTCTATTACAAACGTTTCTTCCCTTACTACATTTCCAACATACTAGTTGGGCTAGACAATGAGGGCAAAGGTTGCATTTATAGTTATGATCCAATTGGTCACTGTGAAAAGACAACTTATAGAGCAGGTGGATCTGCAGGTGCTTTGCTGCAGCCTCTGCTGGATAACCAAATAGGTCAGAAGAATCTTACTAAGGTTTCTGCTGAGTCTATTACACAGGAAAAAGCACTGGCTATTTTGAAGGATGTATTCATTTCTGCTGCTGAAAGGGATATTTACACAGGAGATAATGTAATGATCAATATCATCACCAAAGATGGAATTAAGGAAGATAACTTTGAACTAAGGAAGGATTGAAATATTCTACTGTATTTTGTTTTTTCTACTGTATCAATAATTCTATCAAAATAAATGTATTGAAAAATATATTAACATTCACTCCAAGCCTGTTCTGGGTAGGTAGGTGGCATTGGTATTGATTTTGTTAACTAGGCTTTTGCTCTTTTCAAAATATAATCCTAGTTTGAGAAATCTTTGAACCACAAGCAATGAAACTTTCTTTGGTTCCAACAGTTTATGACTCAGCAATATTCCTAACTTCCATATTAAACTATTCCATGGTCATGACTTTTTACTTTACCTTGTATAACACTGATATTTTCAAGTAAATTTAATCATGATTCATTCTTTTTATTGAGTTTGGATAGATTTTTTGTATTTAGAGTATTACATTCTTACTAGCATCCTCAACCCATACAGATTATTTTATGATTTTAGTACTGATCTTTTATCTAACAACTCAATTTATAATATTGAAAAGTCCACACCTTCATTTATTTTCTCAATCCAGAATTTCAAAATAACCATCAATTTTCAACAAATGAAAACTAGGGAAAAATCAGTCCAAATATCACTTAATATTTTCAAATCACAATAAAATTGAGGAATATTGTTCCTCAATTTTTTCTTTCAATCATATTTTTGTGGTTCGAAACATTTTCATGAATGTTCAAGGAATGAATATAAATGATTTTGAAATTTTTCTGTGGGTAAAACTATATAAGCTCTGATCTGGAAGACCTTCTCTGTTATCATCTGAAAGAGGAAGAAACCTTTTTCTTCTTATTTCCAGAGGAACATTGAAATACAAAAATAAAGAATAAATCATCCACCAATAATTTTATTGAAACAAATCTAACATTAGTACCATAGTCCCATATATACTCACTATCTACTTACCTAACATATGCATAAAAGAATATGACATAGGAAGCAATTAGATGTTTAGTATTTCCAGTTTTACAAAAATAAAAAAAATACTGTTCATTTTCGATTTCTAGCTGGAACAAAATATGCATCAAGTAATAAAGGTGAATTCCCCAAGCCCATTTTTGCTTATTGCTCAACTGACTATATGACTATATATGTAACAATTGATGATGGGTTTGTAAAAAAAATCCAGTGCTGAAATAACAAAAAATTACCTATGACATTTAACCATTTTCCATAGGAATAACTAAAAAAAAATTACTGCATCCATGCCATGGGGATTGGAATTTTTGTATACAGATATATGCTGAAACGAAATTTGTGAAATGTGGATGTAGATTTCATAAAAACCCCCACAACTATAGTGTTCTTTGACAAGTTACAGGGCATTGAAGTGCATCCAGGGCAATATAAGTTCATCAATATACTTTGGGGAGTACTTCAAAACTTTTTCTCATTTAGACCTCACATTCTTTTATTCCTTGAAGCACAGAGAATTTATTACAAATTAGTATAATTGCATCTTACACTCGATCTTGCATATTAATTTTTTTGTAGAATTCATATCATTTGAATTGCCCTTTTAGAATTCATAAGAATTCTGTCCGAAAATTCGCAGAGGAGAATGTGAACCTGTGTATGTTTAATTCTAGAGGTACAGGGTGATTCGCCATAAATGTCCCCATCCTCTACCTCAGTTCATCTAAAATGATTTTCGATCAAGTTTTTTTCCGCTACATCAGAAAATACAAGGTGCTCGGAACAAACGATCTACACGACTATCTACAGGGTACTATTTGATTTTTTTAATGGAATGCCCTATTTTTCATTGTATTTTTAGATTCTCCCTGAGGAGCTGATTTCATCAATGCATCACACTTCGGTTCTAGTGAAAATGATTACAGAGATATAGGGTGTTCAAAATCGAGATTTTTCAACTTTAGGATTTTTCTGTGATGAAACTATTCATTATCGGTCAAAACAGCTTTCATGTCCGTATCCAAACTTTCGATTTACTATCTACTGACATTTAATAATTGGAACAGATACAGGGTGATCAGAATTCTGAATCTTGAACCACACTGTATATGTTCCAATTAAATGTCAGTATATAGCAAATCAAAAGTTGAGATAGGTACATTAGAGCCGTTTTAACCAATAATGAATAGTTTCGACACAAAAAAATACTAAAGTTGAAAAATCTCGATTTTGAACACCCTATATCTCTGTAATCATTCCCGCTAGACCCTAATTATGAAATATTGATGAAATCAGCTCTTCAGGGAGAATCTAAAAATACAATGAAATACAGGGTGTTCCATTTGAAAAAATCAAGTAGTACTCTGTAGATCGTTTGTTCCGAACACCCTGTATTTTCGGGAACGGGAAATTTTTTTTCTAAAAAATCAATTCAGATTTTTAAAATTTTCAATCGGCTAGAAAATAAGTGAGCTAAAAGGGGGGCATTTATGGTGAATCACCCTGTACATATTATTTAAATTGGGAAAATATGCACATACTTCCCAATGAGAAAAAAGTACATCAGTCTGATGAATGTTAATGCACTGTAGCTCCTCAATGAATCCTATTAAAAAAGGTATCATCCTATATAACACATGCCACTGCAAAATAACCCCTTGTATATATTATAGGTTTCCAGGGACCATTTGCATGGACTGAGATGTCATGCACAAATTCACCTTAACAAGATTACAAGATAAATATAACTGAACATACTTAAATCTTTCAATTTGTGATTTGTCCAAATAGAAATACTCACAAGTTCTTTTGTTGTATGGAGAAAATTGATTTCAATAAAAACAAGAATCATTCAAATTATGACTTTATTCAAATTATTTAAATCATGTTAACCCTGTCCCTGGGTCACCCTGTATAGGTTGCACATTTCAAATCTAAAACCCTTTATTCAAATCACTGTGTTTTTCAACCAAACTACAGGATATTATATAAGTAGGTAGTAGAGATAAACAGCAAAAATAGGCACATTGGGAAATCCCTTTTGTGCTGAAATAAAAGACACCAAACATTTATTCATAAACATGTGTTAGAAGGGTCAGAAGTAATGATTTTTCATGGGGTTTCAAATATAGAATATAAGTTAAGATTCACCTCAAACTGCCATGCAGGAACACATCCTACAAACACTACTTTAATAGAAAATAACCAAATTCACCATCCAAGCCTATTTCTTCCCTCCAGGAAGCACAAGTGCATGGCCACGATCTTTACCTCTCAACTTGATGCCAATAACCCTCTCAATTTTACCAATGATCACATTATTGGGGATACCTCTTCCTGCCTCATAATCAGTGATTATTTGTGGTTTTTCATTGATTTTTGTGGCAAGGTCTTTCTGGCTGAGGCCCTTTGCTTGTC